ATGGGAAATTCCACACGAAAATAACATTCTACATAACCTGTCCAATGAGCCATGGCACGTAAAGGGCAACGATTTGAAAATTCACGGTGTATATCCAAAAATTTGTCGCAGAATAACAGTCTCACTTCTTTCTACATGAAAACGTGCAATCTAGCAAGCGCAAACTCCTACACAACCGGAGGATTTTTTTGAATTGGAAGTGGCAAATTGATATATACGAATCTTTAGAATGTCAGACATGCTGTAGTTTTATGATCGAAAAGGCCTGTTTTTCAAGAAAGGACCATAAAAAATACAATGAGAACTGTCAGTTTCTGGTCGCGGGAGTACCGCAGGGTGGTGTTCTTGGACGAGTCCTTTTTTATACGTTGTACCTCAGATATACCGCACATATAAATACCCTGTACTCAACAGAGCGGTTCTTTCTGGTCCTACAAGGATAAGATAACTCCGACTACTCTCTGGTCACGGGAGTACCGCAGGGTGTGTTCTTGGACCAGTCCTTTTTCATACGTTGTACCTCAAATATACTGCACATACAAATACCCTGTACTCAACAGAGCGGTTCTTTCTGGTCCGACAAGGATAAGACAACTGCGACTACTCTCTGGGCACGAGAGTACCGCAGGGTGGTGTTCTTGGACCAGTCCTTTTTTATACGTTGTACCTCAGATATACCGCACATATAAATACCCTGTACTCAACAGAGCGGTTCTTTCTGGTCCTACAAGGATAAGATAACTCCGACTACTCTCTGGTCACGGGAGTACCGCAGGGTGGTGTTCTTGGACCAGTCCTTTTTTATACGTTGTACCTCAGATATACTGCACATACAAATACCATGTACTCAACAGAGCGGTTCTTTCTGGTCCGACAAGGATAAGACAACTCCGGCTACTCTCTGGGCACGGGAGTACTGCAGGGCAGTGTGCTTGGACCATTCCTATCTTTTATATCTGAGATGTCCCAACTACACTTATCTTCTTACATCTTCGCCGATAAGACCGCAGTACTATCCCGTTTCAGTTGCTTTGGAAGAATTGCAAATATCCTTTCATAATCTACTGCAACAAGATTAACTGAATCACCACACGCGACTGAAACGACAAGACCACAACGACCTTAAAATCCCGTTTATCCAAAAAAGTATCAAGTTCCACAGTAAAATCTTCCATCCAGTAGCCCAAGCATTGTCGAACAGATCACGTCCCTAAAATTCTATAAAGCGTTTTAAGCTGAAATGGCCACGCGATCTAAGCAAGCTCAGACTGCTAGAACGATATGGACAAGAAAGAAGAATATCGGTGAATTTAAGTTCAAACTGAACAGCTCTACTGCTCATATATTTCACAATTTTAACGATTGGACTCTCTTTAACGTACAGAAATAGTTTACAGTTTTTTTGTCCGCGCGCGGAACCATAAACATTGGTCGAGGATCGAACGCCAACTGCTGATGTGAATGAGGACGAAAGGCCAAATTTAGACGTAGAAATTCCAATAGTTTCAAAACTAAAGTTAATCCTCACTCGAGTTTATAGTTATCTCCTTGTTCCCTTTATTCTAAAACAGCTGTTTTTAGCGATTTTGTTCACTAATTCTGAAATAGTACATCGGTGATGAAACCGACTCTGTTGTTACAGCTATTGAACATCGAGGAGGGGATTAATATTTAATTTGAGATTCTTCCAAGTTTCAGTGAATAGTGAATCGCATCTGGCGTCGTTACATTAAATATTTGACTCTTGTCCAAAGCGGGGTTCTAGTCGAATTGGTTCAAGTTTAAATATTTGGAGCGATAACGTTTCGTCTGGCAATCTTCATGCACTGGACTTACCACTCTCTTAACTATAATATAATTTTTTTCAAGGGTACGTCTACAAAATAAATATTCAAAAATATATCCCTGGTTAGCCATTTCAGCCAAGCTGGAACTCCTTGGGGTGTCTGCCGAAAAACCCTCGCCAGAAAATTTTGACATTTTCAATTTTTTTCCTTTTGAAAAAAAATTAATGTTTTCCGTATTAGAGTTATCGACCACTTTTTCACTCACGAACACTCTGGGTGAAGGTATGATCTTGAACAGATGTTGTTACTGCCAATCAATACTATCGTCCTTGGTAATATTGGGAGTGAGTCGGTCTTCAAGGAAATTTGAGAGAGTCAATCTGTAGACATATTTAAGATGGTTTTACCCTGATGATGACCTTAAAACAGGTCGAAAGTTTAGCAGTTTGGCACTGAATTTACTTTCCCTTCAACACCATACATCGATCCAGAGTGTTCGTGAATGTGACAGAGCAGACAATATGGTGGGTGTGGCAGGAGATCTCATGAGGATATATTTTACTCGGTACCTCTTGCAGGAACTGATAACCAAATTTGGCTAAAGTTGTGACATTGCTCGCGTATAGTTTTGTAGCTGTTCACATAAAATACACACTTTAGTTCCATAAAACCCTCACAATATGAATTTTTAGACGATGACCTTTTGCAGTACCTGGAAAAACTGTACGATCTCGATCTTTTGGTCATGGGCAATTCGTTAAACACTCATGCCACAAGGTTAAGAAAAGTTTTTCTCGAGTGTTTACAGTATCAGTGAATTGCTACGTTGTAAATTTATGAAGGGCCGGCCTACTTATTTTTTCACCTTACCAGGTCATATAGAAAGCGGTTGTGCCTTTCGATATTTCACAATTCTTGGCTTGTAGGAGAATTTGGTCTACCAGCATGCTGAACCTCACATCTATCGATGGACCTTCTTTTTTAATATTCTCCATTGAAAAATATTTCAAATTAACTTAGAGATGATTAGCAATGCTAAGAGTCGGAAAATAAGGCTTAACTTGGTCAGACTATACGAATAGCACGTACCGAAGGATGCCACCAAGGGGAGGTACTTTCGCCACTTCTTTTGTTGCTACAGTTGATGATCTAATGAAAGAACTTAAAAGTTTAGGATGCCATACAATATGTTATGCAGATGATCTGATAATAATCATAAAAAGGGAAATTCGAAAACACTCTGACAAACCAGATGCGAAAATCCTAAATATTGCAGGAAGATGGTTGAGAAAAAGAGTTGAAATATTAACCTTAAGAAAACATATCTCTTACGTTTTATAAAAAGTAGGAAGCTCAATCTAAAAGTTCCCACTATAAAGGATGAAGTCTTAACTTTCACCAAAAAAACAAAGTACATAGGTACCTTTGACTAAAGGCTCAAATTGAGAAAACACATAGGCAATATTCAGCATAAAGCCAAGGCTCTACAAACCATTGGTCATAGTTTATGCAGCAAAAACTAGGAATAAACCCCAGTATGTCGTGCTTCTTATACATCACTATGTTCAGATTCTTAGACGCATGGTGGCCAAAAACAATAAACAAGGAGACACAGACCAAATTATAAAGTCTACAAAGACTAGCGTGTCTCAGTACAACAGGGGCAATATGCGCACCTGCCCCACTACATCAATGGAAACCATACTCCACCTTCATATATAATAAAGGTCATAGATAATAAAGACCTTTGGAAGAAAGATGGTCCCAAGTTTCAGGAAGGACTTTATTATGGTACACCATGGATCAAAGCTGGAACAAGGAGTAGGTGTAGACATCCCTAACCTACCTAAGACCAACCCCAACTATTATCCAAGTTCTGGGTCCATGCAATACAAATCCGTACACAGGAGATAATAAAGGAAAGTATGAAAGGTGCACAAATTCACATACTCTCAGACAGCCAAGCAGGCTCTCCCATGCTATCCTTTATAACAGGCATATGCTTTCAACTCCAAATTTGTCTGGGAGTGCTACTAATGACTCTGGGAAAGCAAAATTTAAAGTGGGTTCCCGGACATAGAAGGAAATGAACAGGCTGACCAACTAGCCAAAAAAAAAGGTGCAACCCTCTCACCTATGGAATCAGGACAATACCGGGCGTACCGAAGTGCTTAAGTTGGAACTAGAAAAATGGATTGAGAAAGAAAAAGTCAAATACTGGACAAAATCACCGGCTACGAGGCAAGCTAAGAGATTTATAAATCTCTCAAAAAGAAGGCGAAGGAACTCCTCTCTCTCAGCAGGCAGGACTTGAGGAAAATTATAGGCTTCTATACCGGCCAATGCCCTCTTAACTATCATGTAAAGAAGTTGTGCAGAGGAGAGACAGAAACATGCCGACTCTGTCAGGAGGAACCGGAGGCATCGTCACATATCCTTTGTGATGTGACGCCTAGTTACGTTGCGGCCACTTCGGTAAGGCAAGTCTCACATCAAAAGAGGTTCCCGAAGAGGCACCAAGGAAAGTGCTTAGTCTTACAGTAAACTCTTCACTCACCTCAACCCACTAATCCACGTCCAACATAATCCATCCTTACAATCCAGTCCGCCGATTAAAGCGGAGATGGCCTCAGGACCTCCTCACCAAGGACTAACCTCGCACATTACTGGGAGAACAACAATGGTTGGCAACTCCCCTCAAGACTATACAGTGTGTAATGTAAATATGTCCAATCCAAGCTATGGCCATAGATTTATTTTATAGATATATAATAGTTTTATAGATACATAATTAATAGATCTATTTAGGTAGCAGTGGAGGAAAGGATTTTTATAATTCTTAATCAACCTCCCAAACCTAATGAAAAAAATGACTGTAAATTTCTTTATCTAGCAATAATTTAACAAGAAATTCTTAAAAAGACCGTCATCCTTTTTTTCGATATAATTGAACTAAGGCTTTAACTTAACTTTAGCTTAACTATTAAGCCAGTCACGATAGCTCAAGTGGTAGAGCAGCGGCGTATTTAGCCGAATGTCGTGGGTTCGAACCCCGCTCGTGACTCTGACTTTTTTATCTCAACCAATACCTTACATAAAGATTACTTATTATCTTTGTCAAAGGGGATTTTTATTTTTAAATAAATGTCAGACTGGTCAACTGAGACTATTGAATTAGTACCATGTCAAAGAAACTTCCAACTGTATTCTTACCTTCCGATTTCGCCTTCCAGATCGTAGTATTTCTTGACATCTTCTCCTCTTCTGATTTGCACGTCTCTGAACGTAAAACTTGGGTCTACCTCTGAAAACAAAAGCGGAAAATTTCACAATTAAACAAAATGAATAAACGCTAGTCGAAAATTTCAATTGATTGGATCACTTTTTTTTTAAATAACAAAATTATAAAACTTATAAAAATGTGCGGACAATGTCACATAAAAGATTCGACCATATTTCCCAGTTGCTGGACTTACGGAATTCAAGCTAAAAGTAAAATATATATGTACATTACATACAGGGTGTTTCAATTTTCCAAGCAACATTTAACAATAGCGTCTGCTTTTTTCGGCCAATTAGGTTTAACCAATAAGTCGTGGCTATGGAAGAAGGATTACAGATTTTAATGATACTTCTTTTGGTGATACTAAATCAAAAAATATTAGACACGTGTCCGAGCATTTTTTCCAATGGAGCCCTAGGAGTCAGGAAAAAATTAAGCAATTAATATAATTTAAAAAGTATGGCTTTCTGTTTTTGTGCAGGTATTTCAAAGTTATTTATATCTGTATGTGTGGTGATTACTTTTTTGCTGAAATGCAGACAACACAAGGCCCTGAAGATGCTCTCAATAAAGATCGAAACGTTGGCACGATAAAGAAAATGTTTTTCTGAAACCTACATCACACCAGACCGCATCTCACGATTTCTGAATAGTTATTTATATCAGTAGTTTTTTTTGTATTTTATAATTATCTATTTTATTATCTAAGATAAACCCCCCCCAATACTACTACAATTATAATTTTGAGTGACGAGATATATATGTTAAACTATTTGTCTTTTTACTCAAAAACAAAGTAGATATTCCTAAGAAACCCCTGAATACAAATTTTTGTAAAAAAACAATTTTTCCCCCAAATTTTTTTCTTTCTGAATGGCCATTGATATTGTTCGAAAATCACGGAAATGTTTACAACTTTGTAAACATTCCACCGATCCACATGAAACTTTACAGGGAGGTGTTTAGGATCCTATAAACTACACGTACTGACACAAGTTTGACCTCGATAAATGTATTATAAACGGAGATATAAAACAAACAGTTTCAGAGGTTTTTGTTGATTTCTTTCTCATTCTTCTCACTTACAATGGCATCAAATCTAAACATTATTTACCCAGTCTAAAACTGGAAACATTCAGCTTTGCAAATCTTGTGAAACGATGAATTTGAATAAAATCCAGGTGAGTTGTGAATTTGTAAATACGGAATACGAGATATCGGAGAGGAAAATAAAGTGACCCGGCGGATCCAGCCTAAAAACTTGATTTTTTGTTTAATATGAAAATTCGTATTTAACAGTTTTACAGCGTGCTTAAAACAAATCCAAATTGTTTTTCCCTAAACTTATTTTTTAACCTACTTTACTGGCAGTGTCTTTTGTTTTTATTTATAACTTTTCATGTATGTATTGTAGTTTTATTTAATACGATCTTTCGTATTATTTTCTTATCCTTATTACGATCTTTGCGTGAATCCCCTTCACACGAAGCAAACTCGTTTCCTTTCGACTGTAAAATAAAAATGAAAATAAACATTTGTGCCACAAACTCAAACAAATTTATCGGAAAAGACGAAAATCGGGACCTCATCCAAATAAATTATAACAAAACCTAAAAAAAAAAAAAGTATTCAGATTTGAAAAAATAAAAATATGCGATCTATGACATACGCAACTAACTCCTTGCCATTTACATAAAAAGAGCAGGTGTCTTCAAACAAATTGAGAGAGAGTCCTTCCTCGTCCTTTGGTGGCTCAGCTCGCACTGCCCGAGCCTGCGCTTGGGGATTAGCTTATCCTTTGAGATAAGCTTCTCATTTTTGAAAATATTGTTATATCCTAAGTAAAAAAAGAAAATCGACTGATGTATAAAATTTTCTTAAATTGTTTTTCTCGGCTCCTAGGGCAAGTACGATCAGGCACGTATATTTTTTTTTTCAACCTTGTATTAGCGAAAGAGTTGAATTTAAATCAATGATACCATGTCCATAGCCTTTTTTTGTCAGTAAATATGTAGGCAAAGTAATATCCGACATGCAGGCTGCAAGTAGCTGCTGAACTACTCTTTTTAGCTGTCCATTTTTATCAGAATCTGGTAAATGTGTTTATCTCTTTTTTCTCATTCTCTCTTTCTCTCTCTCTACTCTCTCTCCCTCTCTGCCCTCTTTGTTCTCTTTCTTTCTCACTTCTCTCCCTTTGCTTTATCTCTTTCTCTTTGCTCTCTTTGTTCTCTTTCTTTCTCACCTCTCTTCCTTTGCTTTATCTCTTTCTCTTTACTCTCTCTTTCTCCTCTCTTTTACTCTCTCACTCTCTCTTTCTCTCTCTCTCTCTCTCTCTCTGTACTCCATTTCTGATTTCCCCCTTTGCTCTCTCTCTCTCTCTTTCTCTCTCCCCTCTCTTTTACTCTCTCTCTATTATCTCTCCCTCTGCGCTCTCTCTCTCTCTCTCTCTGATCTTTCTCCCCTCTCTTTTACTCTCTCTCTCTATTATCTCTTCCTCTGCTCTCTCTCTGCTCTTTCTCTGCTCTCTCATCTTTCTCTTTCTCTCCTTCCTCTCCTTTACTCTCTGCTCTCTTTTTCTCTCTCTCTACTATATCTGCCTCTGCTGTCTAATCTCTCCCCTCTCTTTTTTACTCTCTCTTTGTGCTCTCTCTTTCTCACTTCTCTATCTTTGATCTCTCCCTTTTCTCTAATCTAACTCCCCCTCTTTTACTCTTTCTTTCTGCTCCCCCTCTCTCTTTCCTTTTTCTCTCTCTTTCTCCGTTTTGCTATTTTCGATCTGCTCTCCCTTTCACTCTTTCTGCTCTCCCTTTCTCTCTCTGTCACTTTCAATCATTCAGACTCTACGAATTTAAAATAGCACATTATCCAATTTAAAGGGGACATAAAACGAATCAAAAGTTTTTTTCAACAAAATATTTTTTGACCTATTTTGCTGATAGTGTCTTTTGATTTTAGTAACTTTTCATATATTTATGATAATTTAATATATGAAATTCGCTTTTAAGTAGCGTTCCTTTTCCTCATTAGGAATATTCTTACATATTTTTTTATTCTACGTATAAAACGCGATCAACTGATCTACAACAATCTTGAAATACATGCATTCATACGTAAAAAGTACTTAAAATATTTCACTCCCAACACGACAGACAAGAATGACACATCTACATGGAAAACAAACACTTTGAGTCCTGAAGATGATCTCAATAAAGGTCGAAACGTTGGTACTTAAAATGTTAAAAACGCTCGACCACGTGTCTAATATTTTTCGACTTAGTAACACTAAAAAGAGTTTCATTAAAATCATTGATCCCATAAGTAGGAGACATCGAGGAGGACTTAACTTCCAACTACTCGTTTTAAGTGTCCATTTTTATCAGAATCTGTAAAACATATATATCTTTCTCTCTCACCCTCTCTCTGTCTGTCTCTCTCTCTCTCTCTCTCTCTCTCTCTCTCTCTCTCTCTCTCTCTCTCTCTCTCTCTGTTTGTGAACGTAACCACCAGGTCTTTAAAAGAGGACTGCGCCACGCAATTGAATTCCCGTGAAGATCTTAAAATAAAAATAATAGCTTCTTGCCAGCCAATTTCACAACAAATCATTACCATCGCTATCAAACGGGTTTGGCGTTTCGTCTGTCTATTTGTATCTGAAGTATAATTGTAGTACGGTCGATAGAAAAATCCGCTTTTAAGTAGCGTTCCTTTTCCTGTCTAGGAATATTTCATAACAATTGGAGTGCAGCGGAGCCGAGTGTGATTTATAAATCGCGACAATTACAGCCGTCTCACTGCCAAATGTGAAGTTTTAACCATTTGGTTTATTTAAGTTTAACCTTTTTTATCTTTAAATTCACGAACTCTTGTTGGTCGGTCTGGGCGTTGTTGATATATCTGCAAACAGATTTAAAAAACGTTTTCTTATTTAGTCGTGTGGTTTATCCTTAAAACTGTTATTATAGACAGGAATAAGTTCAGGTTGGTTTCATTTTCAACATCTTTGGGAAACGTTCACGAGTTCCATGTTCTTGTTAATTCATCGTAAAAAATTCCATGGGGACGACGTCGAGAATTGAACCCAGTACCGCCTACGTGACACAGGAGACGATCGATCTCTGACCCAGCGGCCTTTCTATATATAGTATTGCAGATGTTATATTTGAGATATTTAGCCTCCTCCGACATTCCGAGGAATACTTTTTAGAAAAGTTTTTTTAAACTGATGTTGTAGGGTGTACAGCAAAAAAAAAGGAAAATGTGTTTTTTGATAATTCAATTTAACTTTCTGTACAAGCGGGACTGACAATATGATCGCAGAAATATTCTTTGCATCAGCCGACAAATTTTTAACGTAGTACAAAAGGAGAGAAGAAATCAAATACGATTTTATGGTATACCGAGGGCTCAAAAAAAGTCAAGTAACCGGGTCCGATATGCTGTGTGCAAGCTGAAAATTTGAGCAATCAAATTCATTAAAGAAGCATAACTCTTTAAACCTGAAATACATCCGATTAATAGTTTTGCAATAGAACATAGAGGTTAAAAACTCTTCATAAGATTAGACAGCCAAGCATCACACCGAAAATAGTCAGTGAACTCATACAAAATCTGGGAAAACATAAAAATCTTACTAATATCTGCGGTGTCAGGGTACAAAGGAATTTTGGATAATGAAAAGCAGACTTGACAGAGGAAGGCCTGCAAGACCCAATGCAGGCTCAGAACTAAACTACTCGGGGTGAAACATAGATTTCTCTATCTCTCTATGTAACAAAATTAGAAACGGATAAACTCCAGAGGTGTCACATATTGTACAATTATGATTAAAACCTCGACAAACTAGCACAATGCTACAGATGATGCAGAGGAGGAGGAGGAAACTGCCATCAATGTTTGCATCCAAATTGGACGCTGAAACCATCCAAAACCTGGGAAAACATAACCTAACAATATCCTGGGTGTCAACCAACTATACGGCTAGAACTATAATAGTATGCCATTAATACTTCTCCACCAAAAAA